GTGGAGGAGCACCACAGAGAAGAAACAGTCCATGGGAAAGCAGCAAGGAGACGCAAAAGCAGCAAGCAGCAGCAGCAGCGAGCCTGCCTTCTTTCTGTCCCTACAAGTCTATTGACAGTGCCAACTGTACCCAGAGTAGGGCATCCATTATCCACACACTTAATTCCAGATTCACACCCTTAAACTTCATTCACATATCCTAATCCAGCCACCTCCAAAACTGCCCACCCATCACTGCATGTGGATTTGGGAGACATCTACATACAAGGAACATACAATACTTTCATGCTTAACTATATATAAAAATCATTTGTACTTGATGGAAATACAGTAGAATCAATGAATTCCATTTTTAAGATCCGCTTCATGTGATTCTGAAGCATCAGGATAGAATGACTACATTTAGAGGACCTAGTTTAACCATTGTTGCATGAGAAGATACATCTATGTTCGAGATCACAAGCCCAGCCAACCATAGACCTCAACGTACAGTACTGGTAGAATTTTATTTTTGGAAGGACCAGGGATTGAACTCAGGCCCTTGCGCTTGCCAGGGTAGCACTTATGCCACTGAGCCATCTCCTCTGCCCCAATATTGGTAGAATTTTAAGATTTTCTACATATACCTGTCTATAAATAATCTAAAGTTATTTGATGATATGCCAAATAATATAATCACATAAGTGTAATCATGTATTTATGGATAATGTCCCCTTTTTAGATGGCTAAACAATCTTTTTCCAACCATTTTGCCATCAGTTGACATTCACTTTGTTTCTAGGGTTCTTGCCATTAGAGCAGGATTTGGCAATTCCCTTGCAAGAAGCTGAATGCATTAAATAATATCCTTATATACTAATGACTATCTGTATGGAAGCAACAATCAGGTTAGAATGGATAAAAGGATATTTGAGGCCATTAATGTTGTCATTGTTGTTGTTGATAAAACAAGTTTACTACAAAATATCAGAGTGTCTTCTCCAGTGGGTAATAAACTTTCCAAGGAACCAGTGTTTGCAAATAATATTCTCTGTCTTCCTATCAGCGCGGAATATCGACTGTATTTTAGCTTTCGTTAGTCTGGTTAGTATCAAGTGATGGATATCATCTGTGTTCTCCACACATATTAATGAATTTGAGCATTTTATATGAACGCTTGTCATTTGGCTGCATTTTGTGTGAGATTTCTTTTTATAATCTGCTTTTACCTTGTGGATATTATATTGCATATGAAAATTTGTATAAAGGTATATTAATATTTT